ACCAAAATTTGAAAGCTTGCCGGCATCGAGACTACAAGAAAAGAGTTATCCCACTCGAAACTAAAGATTTTAGTTAAATATTCTATTTTTCTTTGAGAATTATCTTGTAATTCATATCAATCATAACATAATTCAAGAGACATGACCACAAAAAATGTATTCGTCATCAATTAAATAAATTACAAAATTTAGTATGGAAGTATTGTTGTAGATGTGATACGAATCAATCTCGGAATAGTTTTCTTTAGACCGAGGTCAATAGACAAGAAGCTATCGGAACTGCAATCTAACACCTTTGATCTCGCACAGTCTCATTGTGCAGTTCGTCGAGATCAAGAAAAATCTAAAAGGCCTCGTACATTATGGTCTACTTATGCCGAATTACAACTGTTCTACTGATCATAAGACATTTGTGAACAAACTAAAACTAAGATTTTTTTACCTGAAATGATACCTACAAATAGACTCAATAGTCATTAGGTACCAGACAACGTCACAGGACGTTTTTTTGTCCTGCTCTGCGTCTGGCAGGATATTATCACGCAGCTATCCTGCTTTGCAGGACGTATATCAGGACATCAAAAATATTCTTACTGGCAGAACATATCTTGCAGGACAAAGAATCCTCATGCGTTCGGCCTGCAGAACGACTTTTTTCATTACATCCTTTAGAATTGTCTCAATATGAGCTATGATTTCAAATATAATATAAGGACCATTTTTATAAAAATCATTGACAATAATCATGTTAACAAGTCTTATCACATGTTTTCTAGCAGAAATGAAACGAACAAAAAAACTTGATATTAATAAGGTGATAAAAGAATGAGGACAAGCATAAAGATATAGGATTCACAATCTAATTGATACTGAAAATGAGCTACAATGTCAAATATCATAGAAGTACTGTTGATATAAAAATCATTTATAATCATCTTGTCAATAAACCTTATCATACGTTTTGCAACAGAAACGAAATGAACAAAAAAAGGAATACTTGAGATCCATAAGGTGAACAAAAGAAAAAATAGCAAAAGTCACATCTAAGAGATGTTGGCTCTATAAAGTTTTTCAAATCATAACTGTCGCTGGTCCTACAAATAACTAGTAAACTTTCTATTGAACGCTCTGTAGATCTTAAATTTTTTGTGTAGCTCATTTATTTTTGGGCGATATTTTTTCTGTTCTGTCCTGCAGGCAGAATACCGCAGGCTCTGCAGGACGAAGGCCCTGCGACGTTCTCTATTAGGTAAACTCTGAAAGTTCGAATGAAAATGAATATATCTCTCTAGAAATATTCTATGTCCAAAAAAATAAACCAGCCTTTCACTACAAGAAGACACAATATAATGCAATCTACTCGAAAATGGAATAGCTTGGGAAAGACATGTTCGTCTTCTTGAAAACTTTCACGACTATATAATGACTATTATATCTATTTATAAGCGTAACTGAAGGTAAAAGCAGTTGTTTTAGTTTTATTGGGAAATGCCTAGCTCCCTGTAAAACATCAATAACCCTTTATAAGTAGACCATGAACATAACTCTTTTGTAGACTTTTCTTAGTCTCACAGGAATCTACACATAGTCATAATATGCAGTTGAATGGCATCCAACAGTTGGATATGTTTTCTCGTAAGCAAAGATTATTAATACACAGTCGCAATCCTGATAACATTTACCATGTTTCCGTTCATGGAACGATTCCATTGTGAAGATGGCGCTAGTAAATTTCATAATTAAAATTAATAAATCAAAATAATAAAGAACAAAAATTTATTGCAAAAAAAACATTTTTATTTTTGTTTTATTTTTAATTTGACAACAATTCTTTTCATTGGACTATATGCAAGAATGATCGTCATATGGAGTAAATAAATGTAATAATGGATATATTACATCAAGTTAAATTGTAAATTATTTATTTTAACTTGATGGAATTTCTTGAATGTATTAAACTTTATGCTAATAAACCAACAAATTCTTTAGTGAACACAGCAATAAATAAACCTGAAGTAATCAATTGGAATGAGCGATTACAAACTGTACGTCGTTCGGTTATAGATCAATTAAGTCGATTAAAAATTGAAGAAGCATGTCTTCGAAATTTAGTTTTAAAAAATGAACAAACTAAACGTACACATTCAACAATATCTATTTCAACAGTAAATTCCAAGCAACAAAATTTATTGACGAATGATGGAAAACGTTTTTGTACAATGCCAACAAATAATTTTGATGTTGAAACAATTAATCAAACTGAACTTGATCTTGATTCATAATATGTATATTTTTATATATGTAAACTAGATTGTTGTTATTTTTTCAGATAATCGGCCACATATTATTTGTTCATGTTGTAAAAGTGGCCGTTATTTTTTATACAAATAAAATAATTTCTTTTCTAAATAAATGGCTTCTAATGCAGAACCATCATCAAATCCAACAAAATCAGGAGGAACTTCATCTCAAAATTATTATGATATACTTGGAATAACACCACAAGCAACTGATGAAGAAATAAAACGTGCTTATAGAAAAGCAGCTTTACGTTTACGTTAGTTTTTATTTTTTGTTTAATGAATATATATATGCGATGTAAACTATTGATTTATAGATCCAGATAAAAATCCTGATCCCGAAGCAGCTACTCAATTTCAAGCAGTTGATAAAGCATATAAAATTCTTAGTGATCCAAAATTAAGGTCAACTTATGATCAATTAGGAGCACGAGGTATGAGAAAAGTTTTTTATTTTAAGTACAATCATTGAAGTAAAAAAAATAAGAATCTTATTGTTTTACTTTTGGTAGTTTTTTGAAAGATGTAAAAGAAACAGTATTACTACAAATTTTCGAATTTAGTTTTTAATCAACTTTCTACTGTTGACTCTTTTAAAATCATTGACCAGGGAAGTTCTCCAACCGATAAAACGCTTCTTAGTCAAGACAATGTGTATTATGTGAATCGAAATGAACTATGAATGCCCTAAAAAGAGTTCATACCTTTAGTTTATTGATGCGGAGATATTGGACTTTTACGATATTTTTCAAATCAATGCCGTAGTCTCGTTCAGGATCACAAGAAATAACTGATTTTCACATTTCGACTTTACATAGAGACAGACTTTAACGAGAATAGTATTTTTGTGAATATTTAAGATCTTGTTGGTATTCCTAGTCTAAGATAAAACTATAGTAATAGCGTGTCTTTTATGCCGCTCATATAAACCAACAGATTTGATGTTCTTATTTCAGAATAGGAACAAATTAAAAGATCTCAAACTTATACAATTAAATATTCTTATTAAGACCTGTTTTTATGCAAAGTTTCAAGTTGAACTTCGAAAATTAGTTTTCCTGTTACCACGATATTTATTTTAAAAACGCCATTAAAGTCTAGTATCTTCACAGCACTAAGCTAAAGACATGAAATCTTTTCAGGATATTCATAGTTCATTTAAGTCTATATAATTCCTATAGTTTCTGCTCATAATCGATTTATCAGCTAGAGGACTTCTCTCATAAGTCCAAGCATTTTCAGTTCTATAAGTTTAATAAATAGTTAAAATTATAAATTTCAATGAAAATAAAACATGTTTTCATAAAAGACAAGGTAAAAATGGAACAGTGTTGATCCAATGTTTTCAGTTACAAAGTAACATACGATGCAAAAGTAACGACACAAAATATTGATCTCTATGTCTCTTTGATAAATGAGTTCTGAATAGAATATTATTTTTTATGAGTTGATAGGAAATCTGCTTCTCTCACTAACAGTATATGATTTATGTTTATTACACATTCATAAATGCAAAAAGAGCAATACTCATGCAATAAATCCATAATTTTTATATGAACTCCTCAAAAAACATCTTGTATGATGACAGTTAATTAAAAGTAGCTGTCGTTTTACAAGATCATTTTAAAGAGTCGACAAATATCGAATTAATTGTTGTTTAACAAGATGTTTTTGATGAGTTCATATAAAAAGTTACACATTGATTGCTCATCTTATTTCATTTACGAATGTGTGACAAATATAAATCATACACAATTCAAAAGAGAAGAAGATTTCCTATCAATTAATAAAAAAAATTTCTTTCAGCACCTTTTTCTCGAAGAGAAACAAAAATTAGTAATTGTGTGCTATCACTTCTACATCATATTTTAAACAACTGAATTTCTTAATCGATAATGAGAATGATATATTACTTTTTTTTTCTAGCTGCTGATGCAATGCGTCGAATGAATGATGGTAAAAATTCTAAATTTAAAATTAATTTCATTTATCGAATTATTTTTTTTTAAGAATATTCCGAAACATTAGCTCGAATGCCAAGATGGAAAAAAATTCTTTTTGCATTTTTATGTATTGGTACATGTTGTTGTTTTGGTGGTTGTTGTTGTTGTCTCTGCGGTTGTGGTTGTTGTTGCAATTTTTGTTGCAATCATTGTTGTGGTAAATATAAACGTGACGAAGATGTATTTTCATCATTTCAAGTAAGTTTATTAACTTTTGGAAAATTTAAAAAAAATAATCTTTTTCTGTTTTTTGTTTTCATAGGAAGATGACGATGTTCCTGGTATTCATACTGAAGCAAATAATAATGGAACAGCGCCAACCGTTATATTAACTAGTCCACAAGAAACAGATCCAGTACTTGGTTCAACTAATGAACATATATCCATACCAATAGCTCCTTCATATGAATCGACCTCAGTAACTAATCAATAGTGGCAATAAATATGGTATTGTTCTCGCATTTTTTTTTCAAGAAAAATATCATTCCGATTTACTTAAATAATTACACTCACATTTTTTTTCTATGGCTTATTGTAAAATGGTATTACGTCTTGTTCTCAATCACTTCTTTTTTTCCTTCTATTGTCAACACTAAACTTAATTGGTTTGTTTGTTTTATTTTATATATATAAAGAAAAGACATCGTGCACTATTGCTTTTTTTTTTTTTTTTTAATTTCTAGTTTTTATAATCGCGCTAATCATAATGATGATGGTGACGATGACGGTGACGATTAGGATTTCGATAATTAGGTTTTTCAACTGATTGATCCGTGTGAACAAATGTTGGATTATTTGTATTGGTACCTGAACAGGCAAACCAACCTGTTTCCATAGGTTCACCAAATGTTTGCCATGAATTTAATCGTTCACTCCAAACATAAACACGTCCAGTGTTTGTAAAAAAATGATGTAAATTTCCATAACTAAATGCAGTTTTAACTCTACCAGTAAAACGTGGAAATTCTTCACTTAAACTTCGTTCATTAGATTGTTGATAACTATTATCTAATTCAAATAAACGTATTGTTGTTGATGTTATTATATGAATTTCACTATGATAATAAATAGCGCCAACAATTGAGTTTTGTAAATTTCTGGGAAGACTTTGTTCCTTTCGAAGTGTGACCCGATTTTCATAGTCAACATCATAACGATAAACATATTTATCTGTAAAAAATACTATTTCGTTTTTTCGACTATCATATACACCTGCCTTTAGTCTATCTGGTAACTTTGGATAAATCTTTTCGGTTGTAAATTGATTTTCCCATGAGTTTGCATCAGGTAAATAACGCCAAAGTAAACCAGCATTGAATGTATGGAATGTGCCATCGGGATGTTTGAAAGCAGCATCAAGAAAGAGACGACAACGAGTATGTGATTTTCCAGGAGCAATCGTAACAGAATTTTTCGTAGAAGTAGAACTTTTTCGCGTTGATTTTGTTGTTGTTGATTTTGTTGTTGTTGATCTTGTAGTTCGTGTTGTTTCAAATGACCCTTGTTTACCATATATAGATTGAATTGCATCACGATCAGGTTGTGGAAGAATGTTTGATTTTGGCATTAGTTGATAAGACGGATACATGATGGATTTGTCATTGTATGTATGGTCTAAGCCGAGTGCATGACCAATTTCATGAACGGCCACCAAATATAGATTTATGTCGCGATTACTGAAACTAGAAGAATAGAAATTAATCATATTTTATTTATCAAAGCATAGGATAGCTAAAATAATAACGAGCATTTATACAACGTTTTGAATTTATAGAGTATCGAAAAATGTACAATATATACAATATACTCATAATAGAAATGTGCAGGGTAGGGTTTTCTCGTGCCTTGGGTCATAACTGGCAAGGTAACCTTTTCAAATGCCAAATAACTTTTCGACCGAGACAATGTTTATTTGATGAGCAATAGTGAGTAATAGAATAGTCTAGAATGGTTTGGTTTCTTAGACTCACATTCAAATCTCCATGTGGAAAATCGANGGTTGAAGTCGAAAGTCGATTTTCCACATGGAGATTTGAATGTGAGTCTAAGAAACCAAACCATTCTAGACTATTCTATTACTCACTATTGCTCATCAAATAAACATTGTCTCGGTTGAAAGGTAACTGAACACCTGAAACGGTTTTCTTGTGAGAAAATTTTTTTAACTCTTACTTCATCCTACGGCGTTTTTATTTTATTGTCCCTTAGTCCTATCCTAGTTGAAAGACTCTACAAGTAACAAATAATAAAGTAATATCATATTAGAGGCGTGCACGATAAGATTTTCTTGTACCCTGGAAAGACTCTGTCCTTGCCTTACTCCCTACTCGGTACATCTTTAAATGATACTATTTTTCGATAATATAATGAAGGAATCAATTAATAGTGATATGATCATTTTGCAATTTGTTTGCTATTGATACCTTGACATCAATATAACATTCCTAGGTAATAGATAATGCATCTCAATACTGTATCTCTTGAGAGATCAAGTTTCAAACCACAGTTGATGCCTCGCCAAAAATGAAAACACTCTTACCTTTCCGTCCATGGTTCATCTTTATCAAAATGTACTCGACCATCTACGGGAAAAAATGCATGTGCCAATGTTCCACCAGCTCCATCGAATGGATATCGATCTGTATGTTGTTCACGTACAAAATCGATAACAAAATCTGCTTGACATGTTGAACAAACAGATTCAATTGTTAATGGAACATGATCAGCCCAAGCTTGAAATGCTTCATGAATAATATTTGTTGTTTGTGTTTGACCTAATTGTGTTGGATAACCACGTATTGAATATGTTAATGATGAACGTGACCATTTATTTAGCCCTGACAGAGATGCAGCATTCATTTCAGCTATTGGTTTATCTTCATTTCCACAGCGTGGTCGATTCATATGTTCTTTAGTTTTATCATCTAATTTTCCAGTTATTTTTAAACGAAAACGTTTTTGATAATCTTGTAATAAAGTTGAAAGACTTAAACTACATTGAACATCTGAATTTAAACATGGATTATAACCAAATTTATTAAGCCAAGATACTGCATCTTGTTGAGATACAACTGGTTTAGATATTTTTGAACATAATAATACGTCAATAAAGATGATGAAAAGTAAAAGAGTGATGTTGAAAGTTTGTTTCATTGTATCCATTGTAAATGTTTTGAATGTAAATACCATTTTTTTTTCTTTTTATTTATACCAATTTAATATTCTTATCTCGAATAGTTAATTAAAAAAACAAATGTTCTATCAAATTTCATTTTGATTCATCATAGATAATAGATTATTCACGTGGTATTGTTTTTATTCTAGATGTTTGGAACTACTCCAAATGGATCATCGATTCAAAGTAGATGATAAAAAAAATTTATTCGAATAAATATTTTTTTACTAAATTTTTTAAATAGTCGATTGTAAAAAAAGATTATTTGATGAAGATGATTTGATCGAAAAAGATAATGAAATTATCGAAATTAAACAAAGTTCGATGAAGAAACAAAAACTAATATGTATGTGCATTCTAAAAAAAAAACAGGTTTTCTCGGAAATCGACCAGAATAGGCTTTTGCACTTCAGAAATCCTTAAAGGATTTCAGATAGGAACAAACCCGAAAATTCTGCAGGGCTTCCGAAGTTCTCAAATCCATTTTTTTCCTTCAAAAAATTCGTTAAAGGTTTACGAGATCAGTCCAGAAACCTATTTTGATTAGTTTCGGAGAAAAGTTCTATTTAATGTATGAATGATTTTAATAGGGAATGTCTCAAAATGATTTTTTTTTTGTTTTTGTTTTCTTGCTTCCTAGCAACACGTTATCATAGTCAAATACCAAATCAACCATTTGTAGTATTAACAAGTCATCATAATGAACGATATTATTTATTAGTACGTGATGAGGATGATGATTGTTTCAAAGTAATGATGATCAGATTGTTTGTTTTTTTTGAATAATAATTTAAATTGCTAGTTTTCATTAAATAATGGAAATAAAACAAGTCTACTTAAAGTATCAGTTGATGAAATGATTGAAAAAAGTGTTCGTCAAGTAAGAGAAAGAATTATCTTTCGTTAAATAAATAAAAAATTTAATTTTTAATTAGGAATTAGAAGAACTAACAAAATCAATAAATAATCAATCAACAGTTATGATCGAAAATGAGTAATATGAAATGTACTTTTGTTTTTAAATAAAAATTTAATTTCTATTTTAATTTTAAGAGATGAATCAACTTTATCAATTATTGATGAATATACAGATGAATTATGGGTTGAAAAATTTGCACCACGTGCTTTTTGTGATCTACTTAGTGATATAGTTAGTTAAAATAAATTTTTCTTTTTGTGTAAATTGAATATTTAATTTTTATTTTGTTTATTTAGGGTATTAATCGAACATTATTAGAATGGCTTAATCTTTGGCAATATTGCACGTCATCAACAAATAACATCAAATGAATCGAATAAAGATAAAAATAATTTAACAGGAACAATGAATAAAAAAACTTATCCGTCTGATATTCAATTTGAATTAGATCCTTATAAACGACCACAACAAAAAATTGCTTTACTTTGTGGTTCACCAGGAGCTGGAGTTTGTCATTTCTTTCAATCTAAAAAATAAATATATATATATATATGTTCGTGTTTTTTTGTGTATTAGAAAACAACTCTTGCACATGTAGTTGCTCGACATGCAGGATATAATGTTATTGAAATGAATGCAAGGTGAATAACTATAGTTTTTATTTTATTTTACTTTTTATCGTTGATTTTTCTTTTTCTTTTTTATAAAGTGATGATCGAAGTGTCGAATTATTTCGTACACGACTTGAAACAGCAACGCAAATGCGAGAAGTATTAAGTAAAGATTATAAACCAAATTGTCTTCTAATTGATGAAATTGATGGAGCACCAGCGGTAATTAATTTTTTTTTATACAAGTTTTGAAATAACTTTATCTAAGAAAATAAATTTAATGAAAAGTTCTGCAAAGTTATAGATATGACGCATCTCAGAAAATGATTATATCCTAATACGGATGGTTGTTATACAGATATGCACCAAACCTAGGAGTTCGAGCTTGGTCTGATATGAACAAAACCATTTAGCATCATATTAATGTATTCTTATTTTTACGAATTTTTCCTTATTTTGTTCTTTTTTCTTATATTTGCCAAAGAATGTGTTATTTACAGAATTGATAGTCAATACTATACTCCAAGAAACCTCAACAGTAAAAAAAGCTACTTTTCGTAATGAATCTGAAAGCGTACCGTTCCGAGCATTCTTCAAACTCTATGATTGAATACAAACTGTTCGAATTGGATTCATGTCTATTCTTAAATAAGAGCTTCAGTTTTTTACCTCAAATTCTAGTGAATTCCAGAAATTCACTGCTAGAATGTTTTTGATATTAAGATGGTTTGTTTTTTTAAATAATATTGTGTTGCGATGAAGCCTTAATACTATCATAATCAGTTCGTTGAGATTTGCATATTGAAATCTAATAAAACTATATTCATTTATTGTATATCTCTTAGCCATCGATACAATTACTTGTTGATTTAATTACTCGTACACCGGCTGATCAACAACAAGCAAGTAGTAAAACAAAGAGAAATAATTCATTTGTTCTTCTTCGACCAGTTATTTGTATTTGTAATGATTTGTATGTTATTCAATAGATATTTCTATTTATCTCAATTAATTTTTAATAATATAAATAGATATGTACCAGCTTTAAAACCACTTCGTCAAATAGCTCTTATACTTAATTTTCCACGTATTGAACAAACTGTACTTGCTAAACGTTTATTAACAGTAAGAGTTTAATTTTTTGTTTGTTTTATTATAAACAAAAACAAAACAAAAAAAAATGTATTTGTTTTCAATTAATATAGATTTCTGAACAATTAAATATTCAAAGTGATTTAATTACATTGAATAGTTTATGTGCAAAAGCAGCATGTGATATTCGATCATGTCTTCATTTTATGCAAGTATGTTTAAATAAATTGAATTAAATTTATATAATTTATATAAGATATTTAGTTTGTTGTTACTCAACAAAATCGAATAATAACAAAAAAAATGATTGAAACTACAACGGTACTTGGAGTTAAAGATGCACAAAAAAGTTTATTTGAAATATGGACTGAAATCTTACAAGTACCGCCATCAAAAAAGTTTGTTTAATTATTTAAAAAAAAAAATAATAATATTATAAATATTTTTTTTTTCACTGACATAGAACACAATTAACACTTCAATTAGATGATCCACTCAAACGCTCAGGCAAAGTACCATTAGCAAGGTATGAAGAAAACAAGAACTTATCACTAAAGTTTCCGATTGTAAATCAGTAGTAACTTATTGCATAATAAGTTATATAGAATTTTCAGCATGAAAAAAACTAACTAAATATGTTCTTAAGCCAACTTAAAAAATTACTACGAAAAATTCAAATGAATCAACATGCTTTTCGTATTCGATTTTCATTAACAGTCAATTCAATTAGTTCAGCATTCAATTAAAGTGTCTCTTCTCTATACGTTAAATGAAACAAGATAAAAATTTATTTAATTCTAGTTGTTTGATTGAAGAAAAATAACCTATAATGTGAAAGTCTTGGCACAAAAAATTCCTTCATTTTTAAAATCACTTAAAGACAACTGACTAGAACTAGAAGTAATCAAATTTTTTCGCGCTTACTGAATATGTATTACGCTTCTATCATGTCCAGATGATTCTAGCTTTTCGAACAAAATCTTCGCAGATGCTATTAAATTCGTCTTGATTAGATCTCTTGGAACAGGTATTTGAACAGCATAACAGATTAAGAAATTCATTTTTCTTCCGCTCGTAATGTCATGATAAAGTGTGAATGTGTGAGTTTTATCTTTGGTGATACCCACATCCTAGTCATATTAATAACTGCTCTCATAATAGAAGCCTCCTACAATTTTAGAATATTATAACATCTTAGAAGCCTCAAGGGTCTCTATTGCAATGAGGGATTTATCATCAGATTGTTTCAAAAGATCCAAAATACCACTTTAGCCAATTTTTTTATTAAGCTTGAAACCTATCAAATTCAATATACGACGCAGTTTTTAATGTCTCGTTTTTTGTAGAGCAACGTTACTTTTTGCATGACAGATTTTAAAACTTCTGTATGTTTATAAGCAATTGTTGAAACAGTGAATTTTTCACCAATGCTGATTTGCAAAGAAATCAGTTCTGTAGTGAAGCAGCTTAGAAAAAAATCTCTCTCATTGTAGTATCTCATTTTTCACAGAATTCAGTAATGTTGAGTTGAAACTGTTTCAAATATACAAACTAAAGATTGTGCCAAATACTGCTTCTTTGCTCAATTTACTGACAGTTGTTCAATTTTACTCTTGAAAAGAAATCTGAATATATGTTCAGCAAAAGTGAAAAAGTTTGATTACTTCTGACTCTAACCGGTGGCCAAAAAATGAGTGAATATTTTTGTCAAGACTTCCGTGCTATAGATTAAAAGTTAAAATTAAATTTCTTTTTCTTATTTGAACTTCTATTATAAAGTCTTGTCTTATTTTCTCTTAGACGTTTACAATTACTCGATTTAGTTTCAAGTGTAGGCAATTATGATCGAATCTACGATGGTCTATTCGAATATTATCTAACACTTAATTTTCATGATCCTAAATTAACTTCTGTAAGAAAAACAAAATACATCTTAAAAATTATATTTAAAATCATTTGTTTTTCTTTTTTTTTTCTCAGATCAATTATGCTAATAGTTGGTTATTATTCTATGATATGATGAATAAAGAAATGTATACACAACAAAATTATTCATTTTGGCAGTATGCACCTTATGTTGCTCTAGTATTTCATGTTTTATTTATTACACATCGACCTATTCAAATGAAATATCCTCAAAAGCAACTTGAAGTAAAAATATTATTCTTTTTGAATTAATTAAATTTTAAATTTCAGATGCAAAATAAACTACGTACAAATACAACAACAATTGAAACAATGTTAAATGATATAATACCTAATCTTCGTCAATATCTTAATAAAGATATTCTTATTCTCGATATTCTTCCATATATGCTTGAAATTCTTCAACCACGTCTTCGACAAGTAACACATATTTATTTTTTTGTTTTTATTTTTAATTTTCTTTATTTTTCAATCTTTAGACAAATATTGCATTATTTACTAATAAAGAAATGCATGACATAAAAACATTAATCGATGTTATGATTACATTTAATTTATCTTACATTCAACAACGAACTGCAAATGGTGAAAATGCACTTGTTCTTGAGCCGTATGTATTAATTAAGACAAATTTTCTTCTAAATCTATTGTTTTTTTTTATGAAACATGATCTGAAAGGAATGTCAAAGTATATATGGTAAAGATTTGGACCCCTCACTCAGCTGACTGTGACAAATTGGAGACCGAATTGAACTGAGTTTTACTATTTCGAGTCCACTCTCTGTAACAGACACTCTGGAACCTACCAAAGACCGAACAAGACGCTATTGATATCCGATCAAAAACTGTACTTCAATAACGTCTTGTTCCAACATATGAACGACTTCGTTATTGGACTTTTTCGGGATCAAGTAAAATGATGGTGAAGACATTTGTCCCAAAATAGAGAGAATAAAGCAATCTCGCTGTGAATAGCAACAGTAGTTACATCGTGTTTCACAATTTAATCCTATTAGGATTGAGCTAATAGCTTTTTGTTAAATTTTATTTTAAGACCTGTTGATACAGTTGCTTATTTTTCTGGTACACATGAAAAACGTGGTTTATCATTTGGTATACGTCAAATGATATTTAAAGAATTACTTAAAGAACGTGTTAAACGAAATATTCGTCTTAAATCTGATAAACAAGAAATGTTGGTTTCAGTTAAACGTCAAGTTGATTCAACACCTAAACCGTTTGTTTCTTTTCTTTTTTTAATTTCTTGTAAAATAAATTTTTTTTTTGTTTTAATAGAAAACCACCTCAAATTGAGATGATTAAATTACAACCAAAGGTTATTACTCCAAATGACACAAATGTAAATATTCATTTATATAATCGAATTATAATTAGAGATTGTTTTTGCTTTTGATTATCTAAGGTTACAAGAGATTTTTTTGCTAAATTTAAACTTGGTTCAAAAAATTCACAAGTAAAATCAAAATCATTTGATCAAGTTGATTCAATTAATAAACCAATTGAACGAAAAGCATTAATTTCATTTGCATACAATGAAGGTTTTTCAGATGCTATACGATGTAAAATTAAAATTCAAGATCTTCTCTAATTTTTTTTCTTTTTGTTGTCTGTGTTTGTTCTTATATGTAGTGAATATTTCTTTTTGTGCTATTAACATTGATTGCTAGATATGAGATACTTTTTTTTCTTTTTTCATTTCTCGAATAAGAAAAGAAACAGAATAGAGAAAGGAAGAATAAAGAAGAAAAAAAAACGAATAGCATACGATGTATTCACCGCTTTGTTTTGTCGGGATGGAGAATATAAATGAAACTGTATGCACATAAGTTTATTTTACGCTATATAAAAGGCAATGATGAGAATTCTTCTTTCCCCGACTGATCATTTTGTGATGTCGCAAAGAATATGTATAAAATCTGAGCCGATTGAAAAAAATTTATTTCTACATTTTTTCTATTGAAAGTTTTAGAGTATGAAGAAAAAGATAATTTTGGTTTAACTATAAAAAATGAATGATTTTTTTAAAGTTATTTTTATTTATTATTTATGGCTAATATAAATTGAATAGTCTCTATACCTGCATCAGTGGTAAGAAATGAAACATTAAATAGAAAAAGTAATTTTAGCAATATTAGGATTCGAACAATATAATTAACTTTGTCATGTATTTTTATTTTTTTGCTCTATGTAATTGAATAAAATATTTGAGAAGAGTTTATTCCACAGAAAAAAAATACATCTCGTATTTTAAATATATCGTCATTATAAACAAGAAAAAATTACATATTCTGAAATTACTCCAAGTTTTCTATCGCTCTGTGTATTTATGTTTTAATTTGTATTTATACACTACTAAAATGTATTGAGTATAATGAAGACACTCTCATCATCGGATTTTCATGGATATCATTTTGTCACTACCATCAAAATTAGTTTTAAAAATTTGTTATCACTATAAAATTATCTTTTTAAAAAACTAAGCGTAGAGCTCGAAATTCTCTATCACATAATATATTCACTTATTGTCTTGCATTTATTAGTTATCATAAACAAATCCAATATAACTGACAAATATACAGGATGATAAAGAAATTCATGCTCTATTAAAATAAATCATTATTTTTTTTTTAAAGATTATTCGATAGTGATTTTAGTGAGTGCCAAAATGAAGTCCACGGGAGTCTGTGGATGAGAATATTTTCATTACATTCAATTTGTAAGTGCATAAGTATGAATTAAATACAAAGAACAATATCAAACTTGAAGTACTTTTAAGATATGTATATCGTTTTTTTTTGATAATGACGATAGATTTAAAATACGGACTGAAATTATTTTTTCCAGGCATATATATATATATATGAACTATCTCTAATAAAATTTATCAAGTTTTAATCGTTTATTTAAATGATTCGTTCATTTTATAACCTCGATCATAAAACCGTTAGAAATTTAAATAATAGACAATACAGCTATTGTTCTCTCTCTGTATTCAGTAGTTAAACGATAATTTTGTTTGTTCATTTACATCTTCATAATAGAAACGATTAATTCTATTTTTATTTCATCGAAATCATGTCTCAATCACCAATTTATAAACCACGTAATACTAAATGGCAAAAAAAATCATTAATTACATATGATTGTCCTATTTGTGTAACAACAAATACACGTCAACTTCTTGAATTACCATGTGGTCATAATGTAAATAAGAATAATTTAAAGAAAAACAAAACTTTATTTTTTTTATTGTTTTTTTTAAATAGTTATGTTTATCATGTCTTCACATGATATGTGCTCATTCAACATTAGCTTGTCCATTTTGTCGTTGTCGTCTTTCAACATGGCTTCGTCGTAATCCTGATTATTCGAAATTAGTCATTAAACGACAATCAACAACAACAAAAACAAAAACTAAAAAGAAAAATATTGTTAAACAACAACAACAACCACAGCAACAGCCACAACAACAACAACAGCAACAGCCACAACAACAACAACAATCACAGCAACAGCCACAACAACAACAACAGCAACAGCCACAACAACAACAACAACAACAGCCACAACAACAACAACAACCAAATCGTAATTATCCAACATCAAAAATTAAACCAACTTGTAAATAATAGACTTTTATTTTTTGAAATAAATATTTTCATTTAATTATTTCTATAGTCGATGAACAAGGTAATATATCTGATGATTGGTTATTAGCTCAAAAAATTCATTATGAACAACTTGAAGAAGTAAGAGCAAAATTTTTTATAATGAAACAAAAAAAATTATTATCTTTTTTTTATCTTCTAGTTTCGATATACTTATGGTCGAATAACTCGATCAATGGCAAAAAAGATGAAGACATGATCATAGGCTTTTTTTTGTTTATATATTTTTATAGAATAGATTTTATTTTTGTGTTTTCTTTTTTGTTGTTTCATTTATTTTGCTAATCATCATGATTTTGTTATTAAATAAAACATAGTGATAATGAATCTTGCACATTTTATATTAATAAGGGAACTGCTAGAACTCTAATTTATCGTTTGATCTCATATTGTATCTACCAAGAGGTTTCAGTAAGACTAAAAACAGCTGAAAAGGATTCGTACTCATAGATCTCGGGAACCGATTTATGACCGTTTTACTGATTCTTCGACTCATTTTTAAATGTTTACTGAAAAATCAAATAATAGAATTTCTATCTGCCATTCAACCCATAGATAGATATAATGACTCTTAGAAGATTCTGAAAGTACAAGTCAGAAAAAGTGTTTTTCTGTCAAGATATTGAATTGCTAAGTAAACTCGATTTCTTGTGGCAAGCAATTTCAATATTCTGACAAAGGTACATTCTTTTCGACTGAAACTTTCAGAATATTCCAAGGACGATGAGACCTATCTATGGGCGAAATTTCTTTATTCGATTCTTCAGTAAATAACAAAAATAGATTGAAAATTCAGCAAACCGATCATAATTAGACTCGATGCGCCCATGGACACGAACTATTTTAAGCTGTTTCTAGTTTTACCAAGACTTCCCTATGGGCTCAAACTCAAACTACGAATTAGAGAGTTCAATTGTTTCCTTCGGTAAGTGATATACTTATTACTGAAAAATAAAATTGGCGCATATAATTTTTTTTTTTAATCTTTATTAACATTAAAAATTTTATTTTTGTCTAATTTATATATGTAAAACATAATGAATTGTAACAATTGGGGTAAGTGGAATATGAATAATTCTTTCCAGTAAAATTTTATCTTAGATAAATGCACTGGTGTTCGATATCGACTAAGTTCAAGAGTAAATAATGAACATAATCAATCAGCTATCATAGATAATTGCGGTACAGGGATGCCATCATGTATTGAAAAATCGTAAGTTTATTCATATTTTTCTATAGACTTTTATTTCTATCTTTGAACTTCTACAGTTTTTATCAATGTAAAAGTGATGTTGGTACAGGTTGTTGTGTAGAAGTATGTGGTAATTGTTCTGATCCAATAAAATTATCAAGCGGCTTTGTAAAGAATATAAATATAAATAATTCTTTCAAGCCAACATGTAATACTAAAATCAATTTGCCATATTCGAATTCTATGGGTCCATATCGAAATCAATTTGTAGGTAAATTTCTTATAGTCTAAAAAAACAAATTATGTATTGATCATAATGAAAAATAAAGAATAATGTTTAGACATTAACGAAAATATTTGATAATAGACGAGAATATGTTGATTATATTGTTACAAATGTTCTTCGACAAATTGTTAATCATATATCAATGGATTTTGTAACAATATTTTCATTGATATATACATTTATTGTATATTTTATTTTTTTGAATAGTTACATCAATTATCTTGTTCTTTACCACAAAATATTGAACGAATTCTTTGTCATGTAGTACACTGTTTTTTTCTTTTATATTTCGTTTTATATATTTATACATATATAATTAAGACTGATATTGATTCGGATCGTCTAATACGAATTCTTGTTACTGAAGTTCTTAAATGTTATTGTACGAATGTTGGACATCTTACTGATTGGTATGCATTTGCTAATTCAATTAAGGTTTATTGAATGAATTTCTACGTAAAGAAAAGAAAAACAATTATTCTTGTTTTACTATAGCCTTGTCTTTCATCGACCAATGTACTACAAGATAATGATGATGATAATAAAAAAATAAATGACACTAGAAATCAAACATCATCAAAATTTACATCACCCTTTGTTAACAACGAACAACATTCAGAGAATAGTGCTTCTAGAAAAATTCTAACACTATCAAAAGATGCTGAAATACCATTTATTAATGAAACATCTTCAACTGAAACAATATCTCGAACAAATAGTATGATTCCAATGAGTACACAATCAAAAGAAACATTTGTATCGCTGGGTGCTAAATATCAACAATCAAAAACAAAGCAAATAGATCAAATCATATTTTTGATGCCGTTGTAATATTTCACATTATTTTTTTTTATAGATCAGAACAAAGCATGATTATGGATAAAATTAAAAAGATTGATCATTATGAATCTCTTCCATTTCGTAAAAGATCAACAAATGGATCTCAAATACAACATCAATTATCTTCAAATTCTTATCATTATGATGCCAAATCTGTATATAAATATTTTCCTCATAATTCCTATTGAATAGTGTTCATTATAGAACAAAAGTAGTAATCGATCATCATCTAGAGATTCTATGCGGCTACCAATTTATCATAAACATAAGCATAAAAGTGTCTATAATCATCATACAACAACAAGCTTTGACACACCATCATCATCTTCATTATCATCTAATACGTTTGTTCCTACTAAAGAATTCATTCAAAAATATAGACAAACATCAGTTAAAGATAATAGTTTAAATTCGACTAATACAAAACCAATAAAATCCGTTGATAAAGCTGCTAAACATTATCAACAAATTGAAACTCCTTCAGTTGAATCATCTTTGCATAATGCAGAACTATCATGTTCAAATAATCAAAATCAAGTATCTTGTTTACGTAATGAAATCGAATTAAATAAACATTCGACTGTAGACAATTACCAATTATCATCATCAAAAGATCTTAACAAACCCAATATATTATTGAATAATAATCAAGTTCCATTGAACCCAAATTTATTTTCAAAAAACATAACAATCAATCATTATCCAAATATGTTGGCAGATTTTGATTAAAAAAATACGCAAATTTGTTCTTCAAGTTATTTTAGAAATATTTCTATCGAGCCATTAATATTGTACTTGCTTTTGTCACATAGACATATTTATTATTTACTAATAGTACGTGTCTATAAAATTACAATGAAAGAAAATAAATGTCAATATTATATTGAAATAAAATTAATGTCCTGCAAAAATGACTTTTCTTAATACCCATTTCCCGTAATGCTTTTGAGAATTCTTATTAAGATTTAATTTTTCGTATTTAAGAAGAACTATCAATACCAGACATTAGCTTCTATCAATGTTGCACTTTGTGCAACTTGAGATGACTTTAAATTAAAAATAAAATTATCATTCGTCATACATTTTAGTAAAATAAATAAATTATTATTTAGACATGGAAACTTATGAAAATTAAGATAAGAGAATTATTTTCTTCATTAATTGAACAATTGAGAAGAAAGAAAAAAATACTAACACATCAAGAACACAGACAAAAGAATGAAAAAAATCAAGGGGACAAAGTAATAATATTGTCGTCTAGTAAGATAATTTGAGTAATAGTTCTCACGAAGATGATAATCACAAAAAAAAACAATAGTTATAATAATTGCATTAGAACTTCATGCATAATGAATGAATTTATCTAACTTTTGTTGATGAATGTTTGTGATCTTTTTTATAATTAATAAGCTATTGCAAAAGTCTTTAGAAGAATGTTAAAATCTATTTCTCAACAATGTAATATTTGATTCATTTCGACATTTTGTTTTTGATTGAAAGAACAAAATTAGGAGAGTATGTATGAATAAAAAAAATGATTTTCAGAAACACCCATTTTTTAATATCGATCGTGCAAGACACTACATAAATCTCTCTCAAAACATCATATAAAAGAATGTTAATTCTCTTCTAATCAAATATAAAGAGTGCATAAAATTATTATTGGGACACAATTTGATATCTCTTCTTTGAACATGTTATTCGATAGATGGAATTCTCTACTTTATTCTATGAGAAAAAAAATTCTTTTAAAATTGACTTTGACAAATTTTAGAAGCTTTTCAATGAACCTCTTAATTTCTTAGGCATATAAAATGGCATTGAACACCTGAAGGTTCCTTTTTCTAACATCTTCATTCCACAGTCAAATATTTCGTGTTATATCTCATTCGATTGAAAACGAAAACAGTTTTCTACACGTTGATATGCTTTAGAAACGAAAAAACAACAATTTTGTAAAGTTCTGAAAGTTTTGTAGTTTTTATAGAGAATCCAAGTTTTTCAAGTTTAGACGAACTGAAAACTGGAGGCATAATCTATCATTTGATAGAAGAGATCAAACGAAATTGAATCATGTTCTTCATTTTCAAAGATTAACTACTTAGAGCATACCAAAAGTAGTGGCGGAGGTTTGGTAATTCCTTATAATCTCTATATAGTCTGATAGAGAAAAGAATGCTCTATCCGACCATATAGAAAGAAAGTTTCTTGAAGCTTCTTATAAGGAATTACTGAACCTCCTCCACTACTTTTGGTATGCCCTAAGTAAATAAAAGAAGCATTGGTTACTGAATACAATCAGTGTCTTGAATTGACCTTCTGTTCATTTCGGTTTTTCTATAGAACAATCATGTGAAACAGTGTTTTTCAAAGATATAGACTAGTAGGGAATCAGATTCTCTGTGGCATAACATGCTTGAATACATGATTAACAGTTTTCTTAAAGACGATAAGATCCTATTCTTTGAAATACATCATTCAGTGCGAAAAGACAAGGAAAATAATGCATAATTCATCCGTGTTACATAACAGAACGAAAAAGTTTTCTTCGTTCACTGAAGGATATGTTTGAAGAATATTATTTGACATGTTTATTTTCTTGAAAAACTCGAAATTAGTGCCTCTTTCTTTTTTGATTAGTTTTGAAAATGAAGAACATGATTCGATTCAGCTTGATATTCTTTATTGAATGATAGACTATGAAACCAGTTTTCATTTTGCCAAAACTGAAAAGCTTAGGTTATGTGTAAAAGCTATGAGACTTTCACCACTCCGAAATGTTTTCTTTCCGTTTCTAAAGCATATCAACGTGTAGAAAACTTTGTTTTCGATCGAATGAAATATGACTCGAAACATTTGAGTGTGGAATAAATGTCCTAGAAAAGAAAAACTATAGATGTTCGATGCCTTTTTTTGCCTAGGAAATCAAGTGATTCGTTGAAAAACTTCTAAAACATGTTACCGTCATATTAGAAGAAATTTTTTTGTAATGGAATAAAGCAAAGGATTTGATCTATCCAATAGTTTAATCAAAACTCAAATAATGTTCTGTATTTGTAGGCAAAATATACTTTACAAGATAAAGTATTAAATTGTGGCTATTTGGTTATCTAACATACTGTACGTTATATCTTCTTTTCATGTAGATTCTTTTCCTTTCTCATCGTAATAATAAAAATTGACATAAAATACGTTGTGTGCTAAAGGGTAATGTATACATTGCCTTTTGATAAAACTAAAACAACACTCCACGATTAAAGAATAAAAATGGTTAAATTATGTAAAAGACGATATAAAAGATGTTGTTATACACTTTTCATTTTGATATTGTCTACAATTGGAATTCTGGTTTTTACTTCTTCTTCTTCTTCGAATATAAATGATGAATTTGATTATTCAACTGTTATTTATCCATCACCATTTGATATAAATCGAACAAATTTATTAATTTATTTCAATAAAAAAGATTNTGAAATTCAATGTAAAGATAATAAAGATGGTACATGTGATGTTACTTATTGGCCGGTAAGTTAAAACTCTAAACAATTTTGACAATATTGAACTCGTTGTTCTTTTTTTCTTTAAGACTGCGCCAGGTGAATATACAATAACTGTTAAATTTGCTAATAAACATATTGTTGGTTCACCATTTACTGCTAAAATAACTGGTGTATCATTATCAGCTGACAATCGTAAACGTTCACAAGTTATGGTTGGAAATCAAAGTGAAATAAGTTTAGGTGTAACTGAAGTGGATATACATGATTTAACTGCAGCAATACGTTCACCAAGTGGTGTAGAAGATATATGTTTATTAAAAAAATTAGCTAATGGAAGTCTTGGAATATCATTTAAACCAAAAGAAATTGGTGATCATTTAGTACATGTTTATCGTGATGGTAAACATATTAAAAATAGTCCATTTCGTATACATGTTGGTTCATCTGAAATTGGTGATGCCAATAAAGTTAAAGTATTTGGACGAAGCTTAAAAGAAGGTAAGTAAAAAAAAACATGATAAGAATATCTTTTGAATAAAATTAATCCATCTAGGTTATGCTAATCAAATTAATGATTTTACTGTTGTTACACGTGGTGCTGGTTAGTTGAAATAAAATTAATGAAAAAAAGAAAAACAAGTTTTTTGAATTTTTTTTATTAGGTTATGGTAGTTTATCATTATCAATTGAAGGACCATCAAAAGCTGATATTGAATGTCATGATAATGAAGATGGTTCATGTCTTGTTACATATAGACCAACTGAACCTGGTACTTATATTGTTAATGTTAAATTTGCTGATAAACACGTACCTGGTTAGTTAAACAACAAAGAAAATGAAAAGATTTTCTCTATTAAATTATGTTTGGTTTTTTGCTTTTGTGTAGGTAGCCCATTTACAGTTAGTGTTGGTGGTCATGGATCAAGTCGACTCCGTGAAAGTATTTTACGCGAACGTCGTGCTGCTGATATAACACATATTGGTAGTCAATGTGAATTATCCCTTAAAATTCCTGGTATGAAAAAAGAATATTTAATTGAATAATAAAATAAAAAAATGAATTTGTTAACACTTAGGTACATCATCGTTTGATATGAGTGTTTATGTTACAAGTCCAACAGGACGTTTAGAAAATTGTGAAATTGTGTAAGTATTTTCACAATTGATATGATGCAAAGAGTTGAAGATAGAAATTCCGTTTTTTTTTCTTATTTTTAGTGAACTTGATGATTGTAATTATTCAATTAAATTTATTGCAAAAGAAATGGGTGTTCATACTGTTAGTGTTAAACATAAAAATATGCACATACCTGGTGATCCATTTGGTAAAATCAAAAATATTATTTATTGATATATATAGCCCTGGAAAGCAAAAGCTGCACATGATATTTCGGCTCTTTTAATACGCGAAAAAGACATTTTAAGAAAAGTAATTATACCACTCGATAGCGCTCGAAATTCTCTACCAAACTATATATTTTGATTGTATCTTGCTTTTATCTTCTGAATGAAACATTAGGTGGAATAAAGACGCCCTCATGACGAGATTCCCACAGACTTGATTTTGTTACTGTCATCGAAATTACTTTTTTTCAATTTTTGATCAGTATTGCATTACCTTTTTAAAAAGGCAATTATCTATTCTGATAGAGCTTGAAATTCTCTATCGTCTCATATCTATACCTGTCGCTTGCATTTCTCTCCTGAAAAATAATTTGAGTACAACAAAGATTTTTTCGATTGACAAAAACAAAAA